CAAAGAGAAAGATTGAAAGATAAGAAAAATAGAAAGAAGGAAAAGAATATATTAAGAGAGAAGAATATATAGAATAATAAAAGATATATAAAAATAATGATAAAAGTTGGTAATAAAATGGTTGGGGGAAGATGAAAAGTAATAATAAAGAAAATAATTACATAGGGAAATTTAAAGTAAGAAATAAAAGATAATAATAGAGTGAATAAATGTAGAATAAATTTATAGAATAATTTAAATTCATAAGTAATTGAAAGTAAATATTTAAAACAGAAATATAAAATAAAAGTATAATGTATATTGAATATATCAAGACATGAGTAATAGTGTAATATAATTTTAAGAAATAAGAAATAATAATATATAAGTAAGAAGTTGTAGGAATAAAAGAAATAACAAGAAGTAATAAAATAATAAAGTGAAATAAGAGAAAAAGAATAATAATAAAAGAAATAAGAGGAGGAATAAAAAGAAAAAGAAGAAAAATAAGGAAATAATATAAGAATAAATAAATAATTACACATAAACATGAAATAATAATAAATGAAGTTGAAATAGAACATAAGAATAATAGATAGAATAGAAAGAATAGTGATATAAGAATAAATAGAACAAGATAAGAATAAGAAGTAAAATAAATACATCGAATCATAAATAATTAAACTTATTATCATTACTAAATGAATAAAATAGAAATAATTTTATATTTAATGAGCAATAATTGATTAATAATAAATTCATAAAACTAAATATACAAATTACAAATCATATATAATTATTATAAATAATTCAATTCAAATAAATAATAATTCAAATAAATAATAGAAAATCAAATATAATGAATATAATATGTTTTAATTGAAATAAAATGGTAATATAATTATTAAATCAATAAAAATAATAATTTTATAAAATACTTTCAACAGTCATTTAATTATAATTTAAAATATAAATTATTAATTATTTTATTCATGTAATTGATATTTATATTTTAAATATATTCTTATTATTTAATTATTTCATTTCATATTAATATTATTCATATTCATATTTCATTTAATTTAACTTATAATTTAATTTTATTGATATTTATATTATATAAATACAAATAGATTAATAAAATTGATATTTATTTATCTATAATATCAAATTCATTTAATTAATAATAGAAAAACATAAGATAAAATATAGAATATAAGAATAATCAACAATAATAAAAGATAATAAAGATATAAAAGATAATAAATAAATAAGATAAAATAGAAGATATAAGAAATAATAAACATATAGAATAAATAATAAATATTTTAAGTCATAATTGAATAGTAAGATAGAAGTAAAGAATAAGAGATAGTCAAGAGAATAAAAGAAAATAGAAATAATAAAGATAAAGAAGAGAAAAAGGAAGAAGAAAAGAAGAAGGAAGAAAGTAGAAGAGAGTAAAAAGAGAAGAATAAGAAAAGAAAGATAATAAGAGAAGAATAAGAAATAGAGATAATAAAAAAAAAGAAGAAGAATAAGAAGAAGGAAGAAGATATAGATAAAAAGAAAAGAGAAAAGGATAGAAAAAGGAATAAAACATAGGAGAATAGTAAGAATGAAAGAGATAAAAGAAAGAAGAAATAAAGAAAATAAAGAAAAAGAAGAAGAAAAAAGTAAATGAATAAGAAGAGGATAAAAGAGAAATAAAGATAAAATAAAAGAAATAAAGAAGAGTAAAAGATAAGAAAAGAATAAGAAGAATAATAGGAATAAAAAAAGAATAATAAGAAAAAGAAGAAGAGTATAAAAAGAAAGATATAGGAGAGAAAGGACAAAAGAGAATAGAAGAAAGAAAGTGTAAAGAATATAATGAACAAGAAATAGATGTATAATACTATAATTACTAGGAAACACAATAGTATAAAAAAGAAATAAAGAACAAAAGAAATAAGAATAAAAAAGAAAGAAATATAAAAGAAAGAAGAAATAATAAAGATAAGGGAGAACAATAAAGAAAGAAATAAGGATACTACTAACAGAAATAATTTTAGTAGAAATAAAATAATAAAAAGTCATATAAAGACAAAGGGAAATAGAAACAAGATAAAAAAAGAAGAAATAAGAAAATAACACATAAGAATAACATAAGAAATAAGAAAAGGAAATAAAAAGATAGTATAAGATAAAATATAAGAAAAGAAGGAAGAAATTTAATAAATAAATGAAACAATAAAATAAATAAAAACAATGAATGACAGTATAAAATAATTTTAATAAAGACATCTTCTTATTTTATTTCATTTTATTTAACAACTTCTTTTATTTTTTCATCAACTTCTTTTATTTTTTCATCAACTTCTTTTATTATTTTTCCTTCTTTTTCTATCTTTTCTTTATTTCTTCTTTTTTATTTCAAAAGAAATCAAGAATAAAAAATAAGAAAAAAATAAAAATAAGAAAAATCAAAAGAACAAGAAATTTCTATTTCATTTATTCAAATAAGAATTACATCCATCAATTTATAAAGAATAAATTGAACATAAAACATTTAATACAAATACCATCATGAACATTAGAAAATATTTTAATATAAGAAACATGAACAATAACTATTAAATTAAATAGGATAGGTTATAGTATTAACACATAAAGAAATATAAAAGGAAGATAGATTAATAAACATAGGGAATAAGAATAAAGGAATAAATAAATAAAGAATATACCAAAGAGAATAGAAATACTATAAAATTTATATAAATAGTAACAGTAGATCAAGTTTTATTTAGTTCAGATTGGGTCATTTGAGATACATCTCATTGATCACTCTCTACGG